ACTGTTGTGTATGCCTGCTAATGAAACAGTTATGGCTCCTTGCCACTCCCCATAAAATCGTGCACACTTTCTTAGTCCTTTGTGATATCGAGGGGTAGTTAAGTGTTTTTTTCGTTACAGGTGATAATACAGGGCAGGAATGAAAATCCGCAACCCGTTATGCCGTCTGGAAATATCAAGTACCAGGTACAGGTAGAGTTGGACAACTTAACAACAATCCTAACCCGCTGCTGCCGAGTTAGCCCATTTGATCAAATTAAATAGTAATGCGAATAATAGTTTACAAATTTCCCAGGGGGAGGGGAGCGGAGGCAAGTGGTATCAAATAACCCTTACAAAGAAATTGTTTAACGGTATGGGTAGGCAACGAGCATTTAACGGTAGGCAGAAACCCTATACATATGCGAAGAAGGCACTTTCCACATGAAATAAGCTACTGGCGAAACTTGCGGAAGACCGGACAGACAAGCACGAAGGAAAGACACCCACCCGCGGCGTCACGGCCAATGCCCCGCCAGTCACAGAACACACCAAATAATGCTTACTCAAATAAAACTAGTAGGTAGTTCTAAATATGAAAGCCGAATAGGGTTGCACAACGTATCCCTACCATACTACGGACATTATCCATTTTCTGCAGTCACGAGACTTGCCTTCAAAGTTCATCAAAACTGTCCATCAGGCCGTATTAAATTCGTATTAACAGTCATGGAACAAGGCATGGGGACTAACTTAGTTAACCCACTTGAGGTTCATCCGAAGCATGTTGCGAACTTGGAGTCGGGTGGCAGCTGGCCTTCGCTTCCAAGTACAATATTTGCTTGCTGGTGTTCAGCTTGGCCAAGGGATATGCTTCAATTGGGAAAGTTTACTCACTTATACCTAACTTGTTGGAAAGATTTGCGAAAAGATTTTTAGACATCACAGATAGGAATGTCCTAGAACAGTGGACAGCTAGGTAACCCCTGTTGTGCTGTGTGGCCTACTCATGGACCGGAAAAAACAGTTTCTTTAGAAGAATATAAAGCCACGTTTTTAAATTCAGTAGGCATGAAACAAGGGGAAATAAACTTAAACAACAGGAAAATCGGAAAAGCGAAGGTGTGCAAAAGTGCAGTTACAGCTTGTGTGGGACTGTTGAAATCAATTCCTAAGTGAGCATGTGAGCACAAATGTTTCACCCACCTACTGATACTGACTCCAGGAAAGGCCGGTTGAAGTGCTCGCATACGTTGGCAGTTGTTAAAAACAAGAACTAGTGTAGGCACCTGGCCGGCCCATTTCTGGCAAAGGTCATGCACTTGCAACAGATCCGACCGAGCAACGGCCAGAATGAGTTGGCCAGTGATTGAATGGCGAGCGGCGAGACCGGCCGCGATGGAGAAGGAGCTGCCACCGCCATTGGGG